CACACACACACACACACACACACACACACACACACACATACACACATTTAAACAAGCCGGCAATATTTGACTGCTTTTCTCTCTCTGTCTCCATTAAAAAAGAAAGAAAGAAAGAAAAAAAGAAAGAAGAAGCCCTGAGCCCCCTCAGCTTCTTTGCTCTCCGCAGACAGCKTCAGCAGGCACACACTGGATCGTACACACACCAGTCACAGTTGACAAGACATTTTTATAACAAAAATTGGATCCCATTTCCGTTCCTCTCCAAAACTCAGCAGACGTACTGGGAAACGCAACGTGACAAGTTTCAGCTCCGTGGCTGGAGCACCAAAAAACATCAGTGGCACACTCAAAGCAGCCATGCCGGGAAAATGTTTATTCCAACAACAGTCAAAAAAAAAAAAAAAAATCAGAAAGACTTCCATAAAAGAGGAGCTTTTGATCATTTGGATCTCATTCCTTTTTACTTCCTGCCGTTCAGAACTGCTCATGTCTGTGTCCTCCACGTATCGAACAAAGAAGAAAAACATCACAACWTCTGGGAGATGAATGATAATAAAATTTTATTCTGTCTTGCTCTGTACTCTAATTTTAAAAACAGTATTGTTCCCACTAGATGCCTAAAATGATATAATACCCCCATCAATATGTTTAAGAAATTAAATTTATGACAATAATGTCGATTACTTTACAAGTAATCTGCGAGTTTTCTTTCCCAGTTGCTGATATTTTGAGGGAAATTCTCCCTCAGAATGACGTTAAGGCAAACCATTGTTGACACCTCAATTTTACCGAATGCTCCAACATTGTGGCGTAAAGTGCAAATTTAACGTGAAAAGCCCTGCTCACTTGTTGTATTTAATATCGCACTGACAACTGTATCATTCTTGCACACTGTAATCAAATAATGACAACGTGGTAAATGTTCCCTTGTGACATTTTCTATTATAAAATGCATACAGCCGGTGTCAGACAATGCGTGGGTGGTATCACTCAGTGGTAAATGGGATTGTAAGTGGCACCGGCTGACATTATGCATGTTTGCATAAGAAGTAATTGCACTCGTATACTGATGACATCCATAGGTAGGTGGGTGTCATCTGGAAATATGATTGTGTTTCTAGAAAAAAAAAGTCAAGCATTGCTCCCCATTAGCATATTTGTGACACTTCTATTAGGAGGATATTACACGTGTATCTGACTGCACTTTAAATTACACCTAAGAATAAACAACTGAAAGAAAATAAGAAGCACAAAACCCAAAGACCATGATCCGGGACAGGGGTAGACATAAGCAAATTTTTCAGGTTGACAAAATCTCTTGATAAAACCTTGTTGTCTGCCAAAACCTTTGGTTTTCTGCAAGCTTTACTATAAAATTGGCAAATAATTTCCAGAAAAGTACAGTACGAAGGGAAAACAGCCACTACACATGCATTTTCTGTCGACCATTTTTGACTGCACCTCAAAATTTTGGAACTCCAAATGTACTGCGGTCCATTCAAATAGTTTTTTTGTCAATCAAGCGTTCTTCTTTTTACAAAATTTCACAAGTTATAAACTGTMCTGCCTCATGTCCTTTCAGAGAATACTGTACCAACATAAGTATAAACACCTACACTGATTGCGGGCTTGCACTGTCATCTGAGCCCGATCCTTCTCTCGACATTGAACTAGATTGTCAATCAGACACTACGACTTGCCCTACTCTGTTCTAATTGGGTAAAACTTTGACCGTGGTCTTCTTTGTTGGTTGAAAGACACATCAGTTTAAACCCTGTATCATCATTGGCTGAATGTCTTTCAGAAGGCGACAACAAAGCTTGTTTTTTTCCTCCTTTCATTTTTACAGATGACAGAAATCTGTCATGGCGAAGAACTTAATYCATAATTTTACTTGCTTGTAAATCCGACAATCACGATGTGTGATCTGGTTGTCCGAAACAAAAATTGGTTGTCTCGGACAACGTAAAAGCCCTTATTTAAACCCCTGTGAGATCTTGTGGTATCAGTTGATATGAGGCAAAATGGGTGCTTGTGCTTGTACAGCAGACAGCTAGCTTTTACAGTCACCTTCAGTGGACAGATTAGAACTCTTTGCACTGACCAGTGGCGTCATTAGGCCTATTTTAGCAC